ATCAGACCCACCAAAGGCTTGCTGCCCTTCTTGGCTGTGCTCACTCGGGACATGGACGCTTCAGACTTTCACGCTTGCGATGACGGATGTTATTTTATTCGGTACGCTGGTGTCCCAAGCTTACCGTCTACAGCTGTTCAGAATGTTGAGAGAACAACTGTACCTGGAAACAAAACAGGCTGGTGGCCATGCTTTCCATTGTTTGTGGGAGTCCAAACCGGTAAAAGTCTGAATGCAAGCTATCCGCCGATTCTGGACCCCTGGGTATGGCTGCAAACTCCAGGTGCAGCCTACTTTCTGGGTCCCTACATGTATCTTGATTCTAGAGAGCCGTCGTCGATTTTGTCTTTAATCTGCGTCCTCTATGTAGAGTGTATACTTTCGTATCGAGACTGAATGGTTACAATCAGAACCCAGGTACACTGCCACGGTACTTCTTCTGGACAATTCCAGCCACACTGAGTTCATCAGCAGTGCGAGCGCGACGAATGCGACTTGTGGAGAACGCGACACTCGAAACAATATAGAGAATCACCTCTTTCAAGGCCGCATTCGAGTGATCTACCTGGTGGCTGTCATTGCATGGGCTGCGTGCATGCTGGTGCATGACTGGTCCTTGCTAGCAGGTGTTCACGAGCGGGTGACATTAAAAATTGCCTTGGTGCTATTTTGGTGCCAGCTATTCTCTTGCGTCGCTGCTTTCGTGTGGGGTACCGGTGCTGCAGAGGTATTTGTTGAACCAGTCTCGGGCTGCTATTACAGGTTGAACACTGTGGCGACATTGCTTGCAGTGTTGCCGCCTTTCCTGCTGTTGGCTGCCACAGAGCAAAAATACCACAGGCTTGTGCTATCAGTTTGCCATGGAGACTATCTTTATTCAGTTCAGTACAGTGTCCCATTCAGAGCAGCTGAAGCAACAATCCCTCTCGATCCATCAGCATCCCTGCTTTCCCCTGCCTTGAGGGGAGACAGTGGCGCTGAAAGGAGAGGAGGTGTAGAAGCCTGTCCAGCACCAAGGCTATCCGTTCGGGAAATCTCGCAGATGGAATGGATGCTTACCTGGACCTACATGTTCTGGTGTCTTGCGCAGCATCTGGTCATAGCTCCCTTTGCAGTTGGGCCACTTTTCCGGAGGATCGTGCAAGTGTCAAAGACCTGGAGGTGGGCCTTTGATGCTTTCGGAATTCTCAAGTTTGGTGTTTTGGCACTGATGATTGGTTCTGTGGTGGCTGGCCTTTATCCGGCCTTCCGCCTTTGCCGGGCTGCGGGCCGGGCTTGCCCGACTCATATCTTCAGCGAGCAGGAACGAGAAGACACTTTCGTGTGTCTGCGCATCAGGAGACTAGCCACTCGGTTGACGAATGTCTTCGCTTTGATTTTTGGCCCCATATTCAGAATCGGCGCCGTGATGAGGATTTGGATTTGGTTGCGGGGTGACCTGCTCACAGACAGTGTTCTCGATGACACTTGGCTGTGGTACCTGCATGGGACCTCAGCTTTTATACATGCTTCTATCGCTTGCTCCATGCTGCCGGCATTCAAGGACCCCACGATCATGCTCAGAGCTCGGGCACTACACCTGGACTTTGAGCTGGAGAAGAGGTCCTTGGCTGAGGTGCACATGAACCATCCCGATTGGCTCATGGATCGATATTTGGAGAAAGACCTTCGAGAAAGCAAAAGTCTCCTCCAAAAGAGGAAGAGCCAACTACTCGAGACGGAGGTGGACGAGTCTAGACTGCTCCTCAAGACGTCTCTTCATTTTGTGGTGTATGTGGTTACATAAACATGTTTATTTATTTACTTGTTTCTTGATTTATTGATAGAGTTCGCCTGCCCAAACCTCCTGAATCTTCCTCCGAAACAAGGAGCAAACTGTGCCTAGTAAGGAGCTCCACCATTTGGCCGAGAACTCAGAGTGTGGCCTACTATACCCCGACCTCGATTCCGGACACCCTCGAAATCCTGGTGCAAGATCGTCTGCATTCGATGCAAATGCCAAGCGGTCCTTCCAGACCATCATGGATTCTTGGAACTAAAAGTCGAAGATGCGCTCGATCCCTGGTTTAGGGGATCGCATGTGCATATACATACCCCATAGGCCCCGAAGTAGTTCCTTTTTGGGGATTACCTTATCGGATTCTAAATATAAACCATAAAAATAGGATTCTAAATATAACCATAAAAACAGGATTCTAAATATAAGCCAGAAGAAGGGAACTACTTAGGGGCCGATGGGTAGCTTAGTCGATACCGGTTAGGAGTCCCTTATAACATGGAGCACTCCATGCCAAACCGACTCAGTCGGAGCGGCTCTGAATAGCTCTTCTTCCATCAGATGAGGATCTGAAGGTCCGAAGATGCGGGCAGATATTTTCCTGAGCTTTCGTTAATTTCTTCGTGGCGGCAAGCGGCTTCTGAAGGATCAGCCGGAAGTCACAGCCCCCATACTTAAGAGCGCGTGCATCGGAACCCTCTGACAAGTATCACCAGGTGGTCAAAGAATGCCCACGTACACGCTTGCGAGAAAGCTGATGTAGAGAAACATACTGCCTGCGCGTCTGGCTCAGGCCCTCGCGTTCGTGGGTTAGGGCTTTAGCAGCGAGGGTTGGGTGTTTCGGGGTTTCGGGTTTAGGGGTTAGGGTTTGGGTTTCGGGTTAATGCTATGGTTGGTCGGATTACATGGTTGGTGCTGCAGGCTGATTTGGCGTCAAGTACGTTTGGCAACACGTAGGTGCTGTAGTGGGGAGGTCCACGCAAAGCATATGCTCACTTGCTGGTGATGCCTTCAACCCTAAAGCCATGAGCCCCCCCGCCCCCAGTCCACTTTCAACGGCGTCTCCTACAAAGGGTAGTTGGCTTGGGGCGTCTAGGTCTAGGTGAACCTTAAACACTGCAGCTCCAGATTCAATAAAGGGGCTTCAAGAAAAATCGGATATATCCAAAAGGTTTAAACCCAAAACCCAACACCCTAAGCTCAAAACCCTAAACCCTTGCTGTATGGTTGAGGCTCTTGCTTTAAAGCTCTATATAGGGTCCGGCTCCTGTAGAAGCCCGTACGCTCTTCAGCCCCCCCCCTTTTTCCTCCGCAGCAAAAGCCCTCACCACCCATAGGCCCCTAAGTAGTTCCTTTTTTGGGATTACCTTATAGGATTCTAAATATAAACCATAAAAATGGGATTCTTAATATAAACCATAGAAATAGGATTCTAAATCTAAACCATAAAAAGGAACTACTTCGGGGCCTATGGGTAAAGCCTTGAACCCCAAACAGCAGGCCTGAGCCTGAAGGATGAAAGCCCGAAGCCTTCCCGGGTTTAGGGTTTAGGGTTTAGGGCAGTTTCGGGTGTAGTGCTTAGGGTTCAGGGTTTAGGCATGAGAGCTTAAAATTTAGGGTTTAGGGTTTCGG